GCAGTATGTCAGACAATAAAGCAGTAATTTTTCGGAACTACTTAACAGAAACTCTGAGGTGAGTAGCGGCAACCTTTTAAAGGCACATCCCTTGAGTCATCATCCTTTGTGTGCTGCTAGACGTCATATAGGGCTCGCATTCAATTCCTTCACGCCGCACTATTGTATGCAACTTTCTCGATTTCTGACATGGAGTTCAACCCAAATTGTGTTGTTTGCTTCTTGTAATAACGTTCTTCCTAAAGCTTCCCTAAGACGTCCTCTTTTTATCAGACCATTTGTTTTCTATTTCAGTGCCTGTTTTCTAATTCTTTGCTTCTTTCGTCTCAGAGTGTGCCCAATATATTTCCAGTCTTTGTCTTATTTGCAGTCTAGAAATTTCTTGGATATCCTCACTCTTGTTTTTAATTGATCCCATTTTATGTTCATCATTTTTCTCAAACATTTATTTTCAAATGCTTTCAACTTTCGCTCAATATCTTTTGTTGTTCTCCAACTTTTGCTGGCATGTGTCAGAATGTAAATAACGTTAAAATCGAAGATTCGTAGTAACAGCTCAAAAAACAAAACTGAAAACAGATGGATTGAGGAAACGAAGATGTCCAAAAGAAAAATTAATAATTCAGGTGAGTACTGGTAACTTTTTTTTCCAGATAAAAACCCCAGACGACAGTGGTGAAAATAATGGTGATGATGATGATGATGATGACAATTATAATGACAATCACGATGATACATAAACACGAATAAAATTTAAAGCGACGAGACAGAAACTCGACTCATACTTCCTGCTAAAGGGAAGCTACTATTCATTGATCATGGAACCAACAATGTTGTGATACAGTTCTTCCACGTTTGTCCACAGCAACAAATTACTCTACTCGCGCTTATTGTGAGCGCATTTACTTCTGCTTGCAATTTTTTGGCTATATTATTTAACTGTTAAAATAGCAAATGGCGATTTAAAAAACCCCGCGTGAACCTTATTTATTACTGTCAGATTTAAGAGAATGATTGCAGAAAATTCGCTGAGTAGTTGTTAGTTTAGTAGTAATAGTAATAGTAGCGTGTAGGACTTGGTAGTAGTAGTAACGTAAATTACTATAGCAGTCGTGGTCGTGTGAAGAAAGTCAATATTAACTCGGCAGCCGGTAACCCCGCCCTAAAGAAAAAAAATTATATATTGTCTTGTTGCTAGACTTCCGCATACCGGGAATAAATATTTACTAATAATACTATCATTATTATATTTAGTAAATGTAGATGGTAGTAGTACTACTAGTAGTAAAAAAAAACCCGTTTGTCTGACGGTTGACCATGGCCATGGCGGTTGACGGCAGCAAGTTAAAAAAAAATAGTAAATAGTAGATACGGTTATATGCATTCTATTCATATTTCTAATTTAAGAAACAAATTTCATTCTTGATCTTACTGTTTGGATATCAAATATTTAAAAAAAAAAGGAATATGTAAATTTAAAACTTAGCATTACCATTCTGTTTTTCCAGAATCGGAAAAAAAGGTATCAGTGTCATTAAATGTGCCCTGGGTGGGTAATGAGGCCCTAAAGACCTAATGTGAGGGGGAAAAGAAAATACCTACTGCCACATTAACAATCATGTTGTAAAAGTCGACTATTACTTATTAGGTGTGTTTCCATCGAATTTGGAGTGCCTCTGTCTGCCTGAGAGGCAAGGAACCAACGGTCTGCAAACAAATAAGCTATTTCTGTAAAAGGATGCACCATGAATTTAAAATACACCTGATTAGTTGCCCTTTATGGCATGCTTGGTGGGGGAAAAGGGGTGGGGGGAGGGTGAGTGTAGTCTTTTTTTTCTTTAAATGGGGTTACGGAACTGACATAGGGATCTGGAAAATTATTATGACATGTGGCAAACAGCTATTCCTTATCATCATTATCAAATGTCATGGCTGTTCTCCACATAGTGAGATTTCAAGTAGCTTGCACATGTTTGTGCTCTGACATCATTTCACCCATGGCACGTGTACCATCAATATTTAACCCTTAGATCAGTGGCTATCAACCTTCCTAATGCCGTGACTCTTCAACTCTTTGAGTCCCAGGGGGTTTAGCATCACAGGCCCAAGGGGTAGTGAAGAAAAACGTAAAATCGTCACATCTTGCGTTCATTGGGCTTGTAGGTAGGAATCTATGAACGTATGATTTGTTCCTTGGGACTCAAAAAGTTAATAAATTTCCTTATGCTGTGGCAACTTCCAAACATACAACTATTTTTTAAACTTCTTCATAACTTCAATGAATATCTTCTGATGGTCTTAGGGGACCCCTGAGAAAAGGTAATTTTACCCCCAAAAAGGGTCGTGTCCCACAGGTTGAGAACAGCTGCCTTAGATCATCTTATTTGCCTACCCTCAGTTATCTCATCTCCCCATCTGGTTTTCAGGGCCTCCCGTTTGGGAGAAAAAGAATAGATCCCTGCCCCTTTTCCCCCACCCACCCTAGCATGTCATCAACGTGACTGATTAGGGATGTTCCCTTCAAGATCTGAGTACATTGGCCTGAGAGGTGGGGAACCAGCAGTCTGCATACAGGTAGACCGATCTGTAAAATGGATGTGCATGCAAAACTCAATTTCTGGAACTAGACCAAAGTCCAGATTAGACCGGACAACCAGAACTTTCCACATGAGTTTACAGCCAGTGAATGCTAAGATGAAGCTTTAACCATATCAAAGTGTTAAGGGAAAATGTAATGACCTTCTCTGTTATGTTATCACGCTCAACATCTTTGCACATTGGGCATCTCCATGCATGCTCAGTCCTCCCATGCAGCAGCCACCCTAGGGTACCTCTACTGATTTTTCCTATGAGGAACTAGTTATAATCTCTCCTTCTTTCCTGAAAGATGGCATAGATATGCTCCGTCAAGCTTAACTCCTCAGTAACGCAGTCGTGTTAGCATCAAAGATTCACCTTTATCCCCTAACCTAGTCCGTACAGCGTTGATGATATCAGTTCTGTCTATGCTTCTTACCGTTTTCACTAATGCATTACTTGCCAGCTGGTCAGCTCTGTCTATGCTTCTTCCCGTTTTCACTGATGCATTACTTGCCAGCTGGTCAGCTCTGTCTATGCTTCTTCCCGTTTTCACTGATGCATTACTTGCCAGCTGGTCAGCTCTGTCTATGCTTCTTACAGTTTTCACTGATGCATTACTTGCCAGCTGGTCAGCTCTTTCATTATCATTTACTCCTGCTCCCCACGTGTGTAGATCCAGATGATGGAGGTTAACTGCGACTTCCGAATGCTTTCTATTCAGAACATAGACTACCTGTAGTGATTTTCTAAAGCATGTTTAGAGTCTGAAACGATTACTACATGTGTGGCTGCTTGTTCTGCTACCCATGCAAGTGTGTTGGAAGCAGCAGTTATCTCTATGGTCATGCTTGAGGTAGTTTTTTGGTAAGGGCCACTATCCTCTTTTATTGTTTTTCCTATCCTTTGTGCTGTTTATGCCAATGTTGATCTTGACCTGCCCTTCACGGACCATGGCTGTGAATGCTGATCAATCAGTGCCATATCTCAGCAACTACAGTTCTACAGTGGCAGGTATCTTGTCTTCTGTAATACCTCCCCGGTGTTATGACAACTTTAGGCAAGTCATACATGTTTACTGATGTATCTACCCATTCTTTTTCATGACTGATCTGGTCTAGGTCACATGCCTGCTAGATTAGATTTTCTGCCTCAGTCTTCCAGGAGGAACCTCTTTTGAGATGCATCCATTTTTTAGCATTGTGCAGTGGGTGGTTGATGTCTGTTGATATCCTCATGCACACTTTCACCAGTGCCACTTTATGTCTGGTGGCCATCATTCGTAAACCCACGGACATACCGCATGGCGTGACACGAGGTGTCTTTTGTGCAGCCGAGTATGAGTCTCATGACCTCATTTTGTACATGGTCAAGTCTTTCTAGCTGTGTTCTGCTGTTAGTGAGAAGGCCCAGACCATAGTCTTTAGCACTTAGTACAAGTCCTGACAGAGCAGGAAAAGTAGGGGTTGCTCAATGTTGGCGTATGCCAGCACCTTCAGCACCTTTAGACCTTTCCTGGCTCTAGCTGTAACATTGTCTAAGTGATTCTTATATGACAAGCTGGTGTCAAAAGTTATGCCAAGGTATCTCTTTGTGTTCTTTCTATTGATGTCTATACTGCACATGCTCATGACTGGCATAGGTTTACTGACAGTGTACATCTCTGTGCTCTTTCATTCGCATGCATTGCATAAGTTGAACTTGATTCCTCTAAAGGCATTCCTCTAATCTTGATGTTTTTTCAATTTTTTTGAATGGACTTCCCCATGCTCGGTGTTTATTGTATATCTTCACTGTGGCCCTCTGTGAGGATTGTGGCAGTTGGTACTAGGGCATGCTCATCAGAGGCCAAACCATCTCATCTTCTGCTCTCTAAGAAGTGTATTACTGGTTTCAGTTCCAGTCTTCTTCCAGTTTTTCTCCCCTCACTTTTAATATGTATTCCTTTAAAGCCAACGAAAAAAGGAAATACACATACAAAACCCACCATAGTGAATTAAAAGACTTGACATCATATGACAAGATATTACGCTTAGACAGTGTTGGCGTGACATCTCACACGATCACTAAAATCTAGGATCAGGTCTTGCCTCACCTATGCTGTGGGAGTCAAGCCATTCAGGCATTCATTTCTGTATAGTTCCCCAGCTGTTTTTCCATCAATTTGCTAGTTGCCACCACATTTTGAGTTTATTCATTCTCATAAATTTTCCAATAAATCTTCCTATTTGTGTCTAAATTCTTTAATCAGTTTTTGGCTGCCACTTGTCTCTGCGAAGACTGCCTGATTTTTGTGTGTGGAATATTGTGATATTTTTTTTTACATATTTTTGTTCATAAATATTAAAATAGTTTCAGTGACAGATTTAATATTTTACAGTTAACCAAGCACAGATCAGTTTTATAATCAAGGAGGATTGAAAATGGCAGATGTGAGCAAACTTGTGTTCTCAATTTTGAAGTTTCTAGAAGACCAGAAGAGATCTGGCCAACTAGATGATGAAGCAGCAGAAAGTCTAGAAGGTAGACAATGAACTGTTATGTTATTGATCTCTTACAGTCCTAAACAATGCACAACATATGATGAGTTTATTCTTGTGAGTTACAGTCAAACCATACTCCGGAAATCTAGCTGCCCAACTGGCGCACTTTGCTGTGTTTAATCTCTGGCTAGCATCCATAATTTTTGTTTCTCTTGGGGATTTGCAGCCAGATCTTCTGGTACCAAGGGAGTTTTTAGATTTTGAATCAACATTGGGTTTGATTTTCAAAACTGAACTGGGGCTCACAGTTTGAGCCATCCTAAGATAGGTACCAGGGAGGTAAAGGACTCCTGTAAAAACAAATATGGGTCCAACACAGTATACTTTATGCACCACACGAGATAAGTTGTTTTATCTAGAACTGAATCACAAACAAAACTTTAGCTGCAAAATCAGAACTAGCCTCTCTGCATGTGTTCCAAGCCCCACCACATTTGCAAGAGGAAAAAAAATAAGACTCACTGCTCCTTAACAAGCACATCATAAAAGGTGACTAGGTTTGCTAAGATTAGATGTGTTAGGATGTACCGGAAAAAAATTTGCAGTCTGTTTATCACAGCATGCCAGCCTCTTTTTTTAAGTGCAACTGCAGAAGAAGTCGTCAGTTAAGGGCTTGATGGGAAATGATTCAAGGCCTTTTCTTCTTCAGAATTTTAAAGGCAGCAGAAAGGTTGTAAACTTTAGTGAAAAAATATGGTTCATCTCCTTCTGGACTTTCTTCTTGTTCTTGAAAAGAGGAAAGTATGAAAATCATTACTTGTTAGTGTACACTGTCCTATCTTTTGGTCTCACTTGGTCTGTACATTATTGCTTATTAAGCATCCTTTGGCTATTTCTCCAGGTTGTGCCGGTGTGTTGGGAAATGAGCAGCCAGATAGACTGGCTGGCTCTGCACCACCTGGTGGTGAATTTATGTATGACAAGTTAGATATTTTTAGGGCCCTTTGGGGAACGGTTGAACAGTGGGGAGGCGCAGATGGATCATTACGGTCTGAGGAGAATGGTGCTGCGAGAAGTTACCAGGGGATCTGGCCTATGCTTAACACTCAGGGGAAGGATGAGGCGGATTTACAATCAGACGGTTACTAGTACCATCCGAATTAGAACTCTTCGCTCGCTGCTGAAAATGGGGGACTGAGCACTTATGGGAGTGTCCCGAGTGCTGTGGTGTCAATTCAAAATTCAACAATCCGCATGCTTATTACAGTGTACTGGCCTATCTTTGGATTCTCATTTAGTCACAGGATAAATCCCAAATACCCTGTTCAATCCCAGAGAAGTTATAAACTCTGTTACGTGTACAAACTCAGCCATTGGCATTAGCTCTGCAACTTGTGAAATATGTCAGCCCGGAAAAGTTACATTTATGGGGAAATGAACCTAAGTGGAAGTGTTGGTGTTGCAGCTTCTCATGGCAGCAGGGTTAACTCTTTGAGTCCCAAGGAAGGCACCATACATTCATAGATTCCTACCTAGAAGCCCAGTGAACACAAGATGCGCCAATTTGACGTCTTTCTTGACTACCCCTTAGGCCTGTGATGTTGAACCCCCTGGGACTTAAAGAGTTAAGGCATTCATAATGCCAACAGCAGGCTGGTGTAATCTGCAGTCATATGTAGGTAAGGATAATCTTCCAATCATTGTTTTTTTAATGATTGAATGTTTTGGTTCTGATTGTAGTTGCTGTGCAGTGCCTGGAGCAGGTTTATAAATTGAACACAAGTGAAGAGCAGTTTGTGAGAAAGTACTCCATCCCACAAAATTTGTTGGATATATTCAACTCGCATCAGCATGAGGTTTGTATGGATACTATTGTTGGATATTTTCACTCTCGTTAGCACAAAGTTTATGAGCTATCATCCTTATAGTTTTACTACCTTTTCCCACTTTCATCCTCTTCAGTTGACTTCTTCCAAATCCCAGTGTGAGTTCAAGGGCCTTTTGTAGGGGAGAAAGAAATAGGACTTTCCCCTTAACCTAACAAGCATGTCAAAAGAGTCAACTAATTGGGGATGTTTCATTCAAAGTCTGAGTGCATCCGTCTGAGAAGCGAGGAACCAATAGTTATTTTAACCTATTTATTGATCTGGTCCTTCATTCCCCTCCTTTCTTCTCCTGTTTTATTCTCTGTTATTGTCACCACTAATGTGGTGATGGGAGCCATTTTGATGTAGCGGCTAGATAACGATGGCTCAGAAGGTTCTGGTCCCGACGGAGTTAGGCTTTAAAAAAAAAAAATGACCTTGTCTCCTAGGTCAACCCAGCCTTGAGTGTAAGCACTGGGACAAACAATTGCATCCACATGCAGACAGCCAAGCATGGGACAGAGCGGTTTCTGGACCATTATTTTCAGAGGGTCAAAAATTGGGCACGCAAGCCTGTCTTACATTTAGCCATTCCCAACACCTATCTTTCACACAGCAGTTGTATTTTTGGGAGAGGGTGGGAGCTGGGGAAAAGTGACATCCCTTAGGTTTCCCAGTTCTATTTTTTTGTTTGCACAGCTTATTCTACAAGAGTTTGGCTCTCAGCGCTCTCTCCTCCCTTCCGCCCCATATCTTCTCTTTTCTCACCTCCATTCTCTTGGATCTTGCATTCTTCTACCTCTCTCTTATCCTTTCTTTCTCCCTCCTTCCTCTCATCCCCCTTTCCTCTCTATCCTTACTCTGGTCTCACGCTATCTCTCCTGTCCCCTTTCTTCTTCCTACTCCTCTCTGTCCTGTTTCCTGCTCCTCTAGTCTTCATCTCCTTGGCCTCTCTCTGTCTAGTAGCTGAGTCCAGTGCACAATTAGTTGTATTATGTTTGGGGAAGGGAGTGGCGTTTCATCATCAGGTTGGTTTAAAAAAAAAAATTTTCTTGGGATGTTCTCTTTTGAAATTAGTTCTTTTGATCTGTTTTTTTTGTGTGTGTTAGCGCCCCAGGCATTTGACCTCTCAGTCACTGCCTTCCTCTCTTTCTGTGTCTACCTCCCTACCTTCTCTTTCTGTCTTTTTGCCTCTCTGTGTAGCCCTCTGTCTCTTTTTTGTCTACATCTTTCTGCTTGCATGTCACTTCTCCCTCCCTTCTCTGCCTACCTGTCTCTCTGTCCCCATTCAAAAAAATTAAAAACACTATATCTGTGCTGGTATACCCACATGTGTAGGCACACATAGAGTACCATGTGTGCTGGGTGCACCCTTGAACAAGGCAAAAATACCTTGCCAGTATTACTGCAACACAACCTTGAAAAAAAAATAATACCTAAAAAGCCTTGAAATTGATTGCTGAATGTGGCTATGAACCCTGCATTCATATAATACTGTAAAATGTATTTGCATGAAAAAGTCAGGTTATGGAACAAGATTAAAGTCCAAAAGTGGGTAGCAACCAGAGATTGCGGCCGACGAACATGAACAATCATTTTGCTTTTTTCTTCCACTATGACCCACTTTGTTTTTATTTTACTGTCGTCTCCTTCAGTTTATTTTCATTACACAAATTACTAATGTAACACCAAAGCAAATTGTGAAATAGTCTCTTGTCAATTTGTTTGTTCACAGACCGAGTCAGACATATCTTCCTTGTCATTACACGAGGCATTGGCAGAACAGAAGGAGGAGGCAGAGAGATTGAAGAGTAAAGGTATGATGTTTACTGGTATCATCATCCTCGCAATTAGTTTTTTACTTTTGCTGTTAAGCGTTAGTGGGAGGAACAAATTATGATCCATTGCTCAATGGGGGAGGGGGAGCATTGGCTGTTGTCATTTCATGTCGATGTAGAATGTCTTTAATGTCATCAGTCCATTTTCTGCTTGGGCGCCTTTTTTGCTTTTATGCCAGATCTTCTTTGGTGTAGTGCCTGTATTGTAGTTGTTATTACATTCTTTTAAGATGACAGAACCATTTAATCTTCTGCTTCTCAGTGAATTTGGTGCATGGTGATGTTCCCACAGTCTGTCTGACAGTATCATTTCTCACTCTTTTGGATGGTCAAGTTGACGGCTTTCTTCACGCATCTCATACTTTATTTTTATACATACATTTATTCACAAATAAAAGTTATCCATTTAGACCAAGCAGCTCCCAGTGTGGGTTCCAGGCCCCTTTGCGGGGAAATCAAGAATACACCCACTTCCTCCCCAACAAGCATGTCGTATGAGTCGACTAATTGGGGGCTTCGTTCGAAGTCGGAGTGCATCTGTCTAAGCGGCAAAGAACCACCAGTCTGCATACAGTTATGCGCTGAACGGATTTGCACACAGCACATCAGATTCTGGAACAAGACTAAAACCCAGAGGTGGGCAAACAACCAGAACTGTCCACCTGAGTTTACAGCCGGTGACTGCACAGAAAAACCAAGCAGATCTAGATTTCATCTGATTGTAAGAAAAAATTTAATAGCGTTCTTCAAGATCTGAATAAAAAAATAATTCACTGGTAAAAAATATTTGACTGGTAAAAAGCCTTGTATATTAAAATATCTTGACGATATTAAAAATACATGACTTCCTTACAATATAGGGGTTGGCTTCAGAGGTTATGTGCGTTCACGACTGTCGTTGGGAATATTATTTGGTGATCTCTAAATCTTTTCTTCAATGTGACTCTCAAACCACTGTCCAAAAACCACTAAAATGTCTACTTAATTAAAAATAGTTATGAAAGCATTTACAAAAGATTTGAATGGGGGCAGACCAAGAGGATGGTGGTAAAATAATGTGCAGACTTAGAAACACTGGAAGTCTCCAGCTTCAAAGAAAGGCCAATCACAGAGATGGATGGAGACAGGTGAAAACTGCAGCAAGTGACCTCATAAAAAGAAAAAGAATGAAAGGTATTGTTCCTGGAAGAAGAAGTCAACTTCAGCTTGCCTGCAGGTAGACCCAAGAAAATAGACACGTTGTGCAAAAAAATAATTATCTGGTGAAATTGGTGGCGGCCCGTTTTGTTTTAGTTTTGTTGGTTTGTTTTAAGCTGGACATACATTAAACTCCATATTTGCCCTATAAAATTTTATTTCATTCAACATTATATCTTCCACTAGCATTTATTCAAAGGTAGTGTTTAGAATGTTTCTCCAGTCCATTATGTTCTAGTTATAATGAGTATGTTATGCATATTAACCCTTTCGCTGCTGCGCCCTCCGCCAGCCAACGTAACCGCTATGCTAAGCCAGGCGAGTGCTAATCTTTCCTCCTGTGCTGAATACCGTTTATCCTCCAAAAGCATCCTCTTACACTTTTTCTCTTTTCCTTGCAATATTTCTGTAAAATTTCTCTTACTAACATTAAGTAACATTCGGCAACAAGAGTGTTTTCCCCCACAAATGCACAGTACACCAACCACGCTTCACAAAGGAACAGGACAACTTGAAACGCATCTAAATGCACCTGAACGCACTTGACAGGATGTTTAATTAATTAATACTTTGGTGATCTGTTGCCGAAAGAGCTAAGAGCTTAAATTTAAAATTTACATTATATAAATGTAATTTACATACAAATAATTTAGAAATAAAAATGGCATGTAGGGGTTAAACGCAGGACCTTTCAATTGTAAGGCAGACGTGATACCGACTACACTAGAAATTCATATGAAAATTAGTTCTGAAAATAGGACCAGTATTGTACATTTATGTCAGTTGTATAGTGTATTAGAAACATTAATATTAATCATCATGTCAGTGCGTGACCATATCTTCATTTTGACTATTGGGGATCCATTTCAAATCCAGACGATGTAGATAGCTAGGTCTTGTTGACGTCCAGAAGTACGTGTTTCCGCCAGCGTGCCGTGAAGATAACCCAGCTCATATAACTCAAACGTTTCACAGTGATCCTTACTATCACTCCTTGAAAGAAACTCTTATTAATTCTTCATTAACTTTAATTAACCAATTTTCTTGTTATTCTGTGTTTAAAAAAAGAAAGTAGACTAACGCAAAACCAGAAAATATATTTCAATGCAAAAAATATACCGTTCACCGACCATGCTTCTATGGTAACAAAGCAACAGGATAATGTGAAATTCATTTAAATACACCTAAACATGATATGTGTTTTCATTGTATGTAAATGTGTCAGTTTGATCAGATTTAGGTAATGTTTATTGCCATTTCATACCTGAGAATTACGGTTGTTAGCAATATGTAAGAAAAGTCGAAGATGAGTTAGCTCGTTCTTAGCAGTCTACCAGGCAGACGAGTTACCTCGTCCATAGCAGCGAAAGGGTTAAAAAAAATTTTTTTTTTACACAGGTTGCATATGAATGCTAGTCTCATATTGTTATAGACCATATGTTGGTCAGTGTGTAATGAGGTCAATACCATGCCTACCACTCTTACTTCCCAGAACATTTCCTGACACCCAGTTTAGGCAGTGCTGACTTGAAAGCCAAGATCGTTGACAAAAATTATTTTTTTAAAACCCAGTGAGGACCCAAACATAACTGCATCTAACTTCTATGCTCTCAGCATGCATATTACTCATGTGTATTGTGTCCCATATTGGGACAGAGTTAGGAAATGTGATGTTAGACTGATATATTTATAGACCAGTAGCCTTTCTATGAGTGATGTGGTACAAAATTTATCGGAATTCTTCCATATGGTCTAAGGAAAATGGCGCTGGGAAGTTACCAGGGATTCTGGCCGACGCTCAACACTCAGGAGAAGGATAAGATGGATATACAATCAGACAGTTACTGGTACCATCGGAATTAGAACTGTTCGATTGCTGCTGAAGATGAGGACTGAGCACTGTACAAAATCCATCAAAGGTATTCTTCCATATGGTCTAAGGAAAATAGCCCTGGGAAGTTACCAGGGATTCTGGCCGACGCTCAACACTCAGGGAAGGATAAGATGGATATACAATCAGACAGTTACTGGTACCATCGGAATTGGAACTGTTCCCTTGCTGCTGAAGATGGGGACTGAGCACTTATGGGAGAGTGCTGTGATGTCGATTCTTAATTCAACACTTGAGTGATGTGGTCATCACACTAGCACCTTTGCCTCCAATGGCATTTAATGGGACCCTTTTCAGACTAGGTCAACTTGAGAGCCAGTAAGTTAGGGAAAATCTATCAGTGCAGAGTCAAAATTTTCCCCTAAATGCTATCTGTATCATTCATTGGTATTTGTTGTTTTTCTCTCCAAAGGAAATGATTTCATGAAGTCAGAAAAGTATTCTGATGCCCTTGAAAGTTACTCTCAGGCAATAAGACTTGATGCAAAGAACGCTGTTTATTTCTGCAACAGGTATGTGTTCTCTATTGTGTGTGGCTTTTTGTTTTTAAATTTAAGGGGCTGCAAGACAAATAAAAAGTATTATGGGGTCTAAAAACCAAAATGCGACGTCCGTGGCTCGTACTGCGATCAAAATCCACTGCTGGCTGCATGGATTTTTATCATGGTATGTGGTATCGTAGGTCGGCCCAGCCTAAAATGGGTACCAGGATTTATGTCTTAGAGAAATAAAGATGGCCGGCATAATGCTGACGAGCTATAGTGTCGATTGGTCTGTAAAAATATTTGTGCTCTTCCTATATACCCGATGCATCTAAAGGCATGACAAGGTTTTTTTTTACTTGCTTACTTTTACTTTAAAAGGGAAAAGAAATTACAGGATGTTAATTTTGTAAACAAAGTGTTCTTTACTGCACTTTTACTTTTGCCTAAGGCAAGCCTTTGGCCGCTACACTACGGTAGCTGCCTATTGAGTATATGGTGCTCGATCAGTATTTTAATAGATCACTTGGCACTCAAAGGGTGGTGTGTTCACTGACATGCTGATGACCTTTATTTCCTGGGAATTTTCCTAAACCCATTTTAGGCTGGGTTGACCTGGGAGGCAAAGTAAAAAAAAATCTGCCTCAATGCAGGTGTAAACCAAAGACTAGCTGGCAAGTTTTTAGCCACTGTGCTACCATAGACCACAGATCCCAGAATAAATGGGAATCTGGAGAATTCCTGGGCTTGATACACGTGTTAAAAAATTTTCTGGCTGCAAAAATCTAAAAGAGAAGGTTGAAAAAACCCCTTTCCCAGACAAAAATAACAAACTTATAAAACTTTTGAGGAGCGCCTGGTCGAGTGGTTAGGTCTGGCTCTTATATGGAGACCCGACTTCAACAAAAGGTGATGTAGTTTTTCTGTCAGAGGCAGTATAAACATCCTAACCTGCACAGTCTGTGGCGACAGAACTAGCCATGCGGCCCAAAATCCTCAGGCTTAAGGTCCCCTCTGTCTACACGGCCCTAAAAAGTGGTAAAACGGACAGTAATGACAGTTTAAAAAAAAACAACTTTACCAAAGCTGAAATAGAAATAACACAATAAAATTTCAGAACACATTCATAGATGAATCCGATTATCACAAAAGGAGCTAGTTAAGAAACCCCCAGCCCTGGCTAAAATAACAAACTTATAGAACCCGCCCATAGAAGAATCTGATTATTATTATTATGTTAATTTTGCAGAGCTGCTGCTTACAGCAAGTTGAACAAGCACCAGCTGGCAATAGAAGACTGTAACAGGGCACTGGCCATTGATCCTGGCTACAGCAAGGCTTATGGTCGCATGGGGTAAGTTCTGAATTGGCAGGTGGTGATAGCTGTCACGTCTTCATTATCATCTGTATGCATCGCTGTCTCAGACGATTATAAAAAAAAATAATTTTGGAAGCGATGGAGATGTGAGTTTATACAGGTTATATAGGTAAATAACAAATTTTTAAAGATGAATGGTGAGAATACCCAAGACAGCTAAAAAAGAGAAATGAAAATGTCTTGAAAGAAACTGATTCACAAAGAAAACTGATGCCCACATCAGGAGACAGATTGTCGTGAGATGGAGAAAACTGGAGTACATCGTGACAGTAGGAAAGTTGGAGGGAAAAAGAGGCAGAGGGAGGCTGAGAGAGAAGCTGCTGGACCGTTTGACGTCACAGCATAGAAGATCATCTGCATCAGAATTTATTGAAAATATAAGCAACAAGAGGTTATGGATAGACTTGACTGCTATAGCTTGGACTACAAAGAAGATGATGCCTGTCTGTATAATGCATGTCTGTCATTATTCCTGTCTGTCTGTTTATAAAAGTGTTGGGAAAGTTAGAATTCACCTGCTGTTAATGTAGTCATCATGTAGCAGGTTCTTTGTTGCTCTTTTTATTACGGTCTGCCTGAAAGAAACTCACTCTCGCCAGCTCTCCCACCTCGTGTACTTTCTTATTCAAGAAGTCACTTTTCCTGTGTCCACCTTCATGTTGGTCAGCCCCTGCCCCTCCTTCCTGGTGCCATTTCTGGTATTACTTTTTCCAATCCGTCGTGGTGCTTGACATGACTAAAAAAATTTCAGCTTCCGAGACAAGATACTGTTTATTAGCCAATCTTCCTTGATGTACGGATATTTTAAAATTTCAGTATTTCTTCTCTTCTTTGTCCATAGTATTCTGAGAATCTTTCTATAGCATTTCAGCTCAAAGGCCCCTATTTTATTTCTGAAGTAAAGAAAAGATGTGGGTGATTAAACCTCTTCACAACTAGCTATCTTTAACACTGTGTATAAGTTTGTGGGCTGACACCCTTCCGTGCCATGACAACAAAACCCAGAAAAATAGTTTTTAAATCCTCATGATTGCCCGTGTCTGTTCCGGAGCCCATTGTGGAAAGGGAGCGGGAGAAGAGAGAATAGACCCACTGCCTCCCCAATAAGCATGTCATAGGAGTCAAATAATTGGGGGCTTTCTTCAAAGTCAAAAGTGCGTCTGCCCGGGCAAGGAACAACCAACTGCACACAAATAAGCCAGTAAAATGGATGTTCGCACAAAATGGAGGCCCTGGCACAAAGCCAAAATCCAACTGGACGAATGGCCAGGACTTTCTACCGGAAACTTAGCCTGAGAGCAAAGAAGAAGAGAAACCCTCACGTTGAGTAGGAATGAAACCAGATAATTACTGGCCATTATATTACTGTGACTTCTGTAAAGTATTACATGTTTAACGCACGTGTGCACACAGATATCATAGTCATCGCCCTGTTGTGTTATTATATATCACACAGGGTTTATTCTTTCATTCTATTCTATTCTGTACAGTCCCTTCATATATGGATATGATCCATTACCTTTAGCCTCTCTCAACAACTTTCATTTGAGAGTTTCTGCCTCCAAGACAGGTGTATACATATGTTCACCATTATTAATCTCAACAGCATTGCCTACACTGCCCTAGAAGACCATGAGAGTGCATTTGAGTGCTACCGCAAGGCCATTGAGTTGGACCCAGACAATCAGAGCTATCAGAACAACTTAGAGATAGCAGAACAGAAGCTGAAAGAAGCTGCCTTACAGGTAGAGTGAAAAACAATTGACACATGTATGTTTATACCATCCGAAAACCAAGTGTAAAAAAAAACGGGCACTGCGAAAATAAAAATGTTCACAATTTATTTTCTCTCTGTTTAAACTGGATTTACTTTGTGTAGGTTTGTAGCTTTACTTAATAACTTAATTTGCTACATTCTCTACATAACCATTTCTATTTCTCTCCATTTAAACTAGATTCACTTTGTTTGTGTAGATTGGTAGCTTTACTTTATAACTTATTTTGCTACATTCTCTACATATCCATTCCTATTTCTGTTCCTGCTTTGTTTCCTCCTACTACACAGTACAGTTAGTAACCTCTCTCTTCATTGGAACTGGTCAGTTTTCACTAACTGCCCCCTTGCATTAACTTATTGTAGTGATTTGTGTAAGCTAATCACTCTAACATCCTTTGTTTGGGGGTCTCCCTGGTGAAGTGGTCAAGCTGTTTGCCTTGCGCTCTGAAGATCCTGGGTTCATTTCACGGCAGCGCTGTTCAGTTCACAAGTGTAGTTTTTATGGAGATCCCTCGGGATCGTCACCAGAGCTACGAAAGTTGTGCTGAGTATGGGGGTAAAACCCGGTGCAGTGAAGTTGATCCTCCCACCTTTACCTTTGCATCAATTGTTTGTTTATTATAAGTGAATCTTATATCCACTCTTTTATTATGGCCTGGAGAGAATGAGGCACCAAAGGGTCTGGCTGCCTCACTACACCCAGAGGAAAGACAAGGTGGACATATAACCAGATTGTGACTGGTACCATCAGTATTGGAACTCTGCCCTGGCTGCTGAAGATGATGATGGAGCATGCATGGAAATGCCCTGAGTGCTGTGATGTCAATTTTTGACTCAACTCGACTATAAGTGAATCTGTAAAACTGTCATATAGATCCTGTTTTTCCTGTCTTTTAAATTAAGACTGAAATTATCTTTTGACCTGGATTGATTTGTTCTTGTTTACAGATGATGATATTATGAATGCTTGTAATTTCCTTTGTCATCTTCTTTTAGGCTGGATTCAATGTCGGACCAGCTGCAAATTTGGGCGGTCTAGGTGGTCTCGGCAATTTAGATTTTGCCTCGCTGTTCAATGACCCAAACATTGTTAATATGGTAAGAGAATTTGTGTACATGAAAATGTAAATATAAATTACTGCGTGATAAACTAACTGATTGTTATAATTTGCACTCATAGATTTAGAGTACTTTCTTAGTCGATCCATTGTACCCTGGGGTGTAGAGGTTTACCAGACTTCTCTGTCGGTAGTTTTTCTTGATTGGGGAGGGGGGGGGGGGCTTTGCTCCATTCCAGTCTTCATTCAGTCAGAGGCTGTCGGAAGTTGTCTTCCCTGTGGAACCTGGAGTGGAGTGGAGGTCTGGTTTTTACCCTCCCATTCTGCATGCATGTTCAAACCATTGTAGCCGTGACTGATCCACTCAGAGTTTGTAAGGCCTGGTATTTAAGGTCATGACGTATTGTCTGATTGCAAACTTTGTCCCTTCTTGTCACTTGGACCACCTTTCTCGGATACCTCATTTCTGAGGCCTAAAGCTGGCTTTGAGCTGATGTAGAGAAGAGTAATAGGACCTTGACACACAAGACAACATACAATCAAGCATTCAGTGAATCAAGTGTCATCTCCACAATGAAGGTTGGCTACAGTTGATCTCTAACAAACTGTCAAACAGTTGGTTGTGTGCTCTCTCAGGCTGCTGTTCACTCATCTTTTACTGCTGTCCTCCAACTTGTATCAGTGTCTTCCTCTTGCTCTCTTTTCCCCCCAGTATGGTATTTTTCAAAGTGCCATATCTTTCCTTCTTCATTTGCCCTTACAAGTGCTGGATTTGTGGGGGAGGGGGGGATACACCAACTGATTCTTGACAAGCATATTATGAGAAGTGACTTAACTCTTTGAGTCCCAAGGAACACATCATACGTTCATAAGTTCCTACCTAGAAACCCAATGAATGCATGATGTGCCGATTTTATTACTTTCTTTACTACCCCCCTGGGCCTGTGATGCTAAACCCCCTGGGACTCAGAGTTAATTAAGGATTTGTGGAAAATGGAAATGATAGGCTGAAAGACAGAAGATATCACAGCCTAGCTGTAAATCACAACATATCAGCCAGCCTTTTAAGGGTGAACACTGAAAGAAGAATTTCTGTGATTCGTGATTGTATGTTAAGGAATTTGAACACTAGCCTTCAGCCAGCAGGCATTCACCTAGCCACTGTGCACCGGGGCTCCCAGTTTGTATAAATAAGCACACTAAAATAAATTTTATTTAATTTTTCTTCATTTATAAAATATAAATGACTCACAGAGCATGTGGAGAAAGCGATACTGTGCAGAGTGACAAGCATCGCTTCAGAGGTCCCGGGTAGGTAGCCTCCTTTTAAGATTTTCTGTAGGTAATGCCAGTGTGTTGGGAAATGAACAGGCAGATAGACTGGCTGCTTCTGTACCACTTGGACAAGCTAGGTGTTGTAAGTGCCCTTTGGGAGCAAGTGAAAAGTGCAGTGGCGCAAATAGATCATTACAGTCGGACGGGAATGGTAAACCCGGGGGATCTGGAGGACACCTAACACTCAAGGGAAAGGCGAGGCAGATATACATTCAGACTGTTACCATCAGACTTGAAACTGCGCTTGCTGCTGAAGATAAAGACGCTTATGGGAATGTTCTGAGTGCTGTAATTTTGGTTCTTAATTCACCATTTATTTATAAAATGTACTAAATTTCCCTTTTTTTCGCAGGCTACAACCATGATGTCAAACCCTCAGGTGCAGCAGATGTGAGTTCATTTACAGAATCTTTTCTTCTTATCCATGTTTTTTTTGGGTTCATTATAGGGTGGTTTGTTAGCCGTTGGTAGTGCAGTCACTAGACACTCACCTGCCAACCTGAAAGTCTTGAGTTTGAATCCGTATCGAGGCATAATTTGTTTGAAACCTTGGCTCCCGGGCTGACCCAATCTAAAATGGGTACCAGGCAATGTCCTGGGAGTAAACGTCATTTAACCATATGACTCACAGATGGCTGATTGATCTACAGATATGAGTAGCATCATGTGTTTAATGTGAACTTGTGACAAGGGTAATTTCTTTAATAGATGAGTTTTATGCTGTGTGTGGGCACAACAGACAAGGCAGAGGAGCAGAATTTATGCACTTCAGCTGACATATCAACTTCATCTTGATAATTGCTGCGTTGTTCAGACTCCATGTGCATTATTTTATAAACATGCATGGTGACTGCTGCATGCATGACACTAGACCATTAAGGGAAGGGTAGGAACAAAATGTGTGCACAGGCTAGGGAAGGAGGCTTGCACTAGGGTAGTGCCAGGACGTGATGCTCTGGATCAGGGTGTACCCAGTATTGCTGAAGTGAATCTAAACATGCTGTATTGTAGGATGTCAAACTGAATAATTAAATCTAAACATACTGTTTTGTCTGTATTACAGGATGACAAACTGTATACGTGAATCTAAACATACGGTTTTGTCTGTATTGTAGGATGATAAATGGTATAATTAAATCTAAACATACTGTTTTGTCTGTATTGTAGGATGATGAACTTTATAATCAAATCTAAACATACTGTATTGTAGGATGATAAACTAAATAATTAAATCTAAACATACTGTACTGTCTGCATTGCAGGATGACAAACTGTATAATTAAATCTAAAAATACTGTATTGTAGGATGATGCGCTGTATAATTAAATCTAAACATACTGTATTGTCTGTATTGCAGGATGACAAGCTTCATGAGTGGTTCCAACCCTCCCACTGGAGGGGGAATTGCAAATCTCTTACAGGCGTAAGTCATATGTGAACGTTAAAACTCTTTTAATACGGTACTGATTAACTCTTCAAGTCTGAAGCAATGCATAATGTATTATTGGTTCAACTCCTGAATTTCAATCATCAAATCGTATGTTGTCTAACTTGATCATACTAAAAAAAAAAACTGGCTTTCTCGCTGGTCACTGTCATTCTGTATGCAAAATCTTTGAAAACAGTGCACCCTTGATTTTATCAATGGTTGCCACTGTGGACAGTCGCTTGCCAAACTTTCTAGAACTGAAATTAATGTTTTTGCAATAGATTTGGTGCTAATTGGCCAGCTCTGGGTAATGCATTGGTTTTAACAGTATGACCATTTTGAGTTTGGTGCTAGTTGTGGTGGGGTATTATTTTTACCCTAATTCTGGCAGCATCTGTGCTATAGCAGTGACTAACATGCTTGCCTGATTGCCCACTAGATGTGTGTTTAACAACTCTTTCAGTAACAGAAGGTTCCTTCAAATTCAGAGTGCATCTGCCTGAGAGGCAAGGAACCAACAATCTGCATACAAATAAGTCACATCTGTTAAATTGATGTGTAGGCAACACTCAGCTTCTGAAGCAAGACTTAAATTCAGAGATGAACGAACGAGAACTTTTCTCCAGAGTTTACAGTCGATGAACATGAAGAAGTACTGGAGGGATTAGTAACAGATTTCTAAAGAAGAAAAGCTAGACATAAACAAAAATGGCTGATCTGCTTTTAAAGAGCACAAATATACCATGGAAAAAGGACCATAAATGAAGCCAGATTCGTTGTGCAGCTCTGACCAAATGTAAATGTCCACTAAAGTTATTTTATGGCAGTTTCAATTAATTGAGAATGGTAAATGACACTATATGCATTTCTTAGTGTTGAAACTACCACTGGGGCAAGAATGCTTTAAGAACAAAAATTCAAGTTGACTTAACCTAAAAGATATCAGAAAATTTTCTGGGAAGTAATGATGGCTTGCATGATTTTGAATGCCAGTTGGTCTAAAAAGACATGGGACTAGCTATTTCCCAAATAATTATGGAAAAAGATCCTTCCATTTAAAACACATACAGGAGCATAGACATTTATAGTTGTCAAAATGGTTGCCGAAGTTGAGGCTGTTGTAACACAAGCATTGGATGGGATCCCTAAAGAGGTCCACAGTAGTTTTAACCATCTTCATACCAGGCATGAAGTGGTCATGGGCATTGAAAGGGCAGATAGATTGATTGGAGCTACTGTTGTATCAGAGCACAATAAAGTATTGTTTCAACAGTGAAGATTGGGACCAGACTACAAGAACATGCTAAAAGGGGTGTGGCCAGACAAGAGCACTGTAGGAAGCCAAAGAAGAATGAGAAACCAGCACAGAACTGGTGTCATGAGCCGCTACGTGCTGTGGGATTAACTGAGGAGGGGATCCAAGCACTTATGGACTTTATGGTTCTATGTGCAGTGAGGACAATCTGTCGACTAACTATAGACTGGCTGATTCTGCACCTTGTGGTGGTAAATTGAGGCACGGCAAACTAAATGTTATAAAGGCACTTTGAGAGTGCTAAAGCACAAATAGATCATCACACAGTCTGAAGAGAATGGTGCAGTTAAAAGTGACCAGGGGATATGACCGAGACTCAACAGTCAGAGTAAAGGCAAGATGGGCATACAGTCAGACTACCACTGGTACCATGAGAATGGGGTGCTGTGACATTGGTTCTGAACTCAACATAGATCCTGTTTGCTGGGCAATTATACGACAACCCTCGTCATTTGTGAAATGGTCTCTGTATGATATGCCAAGAATGTTTCTGAACGATCTCATTTTCAGATTCGAGTTCAGGTGTTGACTTCCATGTTTGACAGCCATATGTAAATGTACATTAACTAGTGCTCTGAACAGAAATAGCTTAGTTTTACATGATGCTAGCTATCTGCCATAGATAGTTGAAAGACAGATATATTTTATTTTAAGTGCTGTTTCGGAGGTCAACTGATCTAATCCACATCAAGGATGATGTTTTTCAAAATTGACATCAGGACGGAGCCCTTATGAGAATGTCCTGAGTGCTGTGATGTCAATTCTTAATTGTCAATTTAAACAAACATTAAACTTACCCACTTGAAAAGTTCAGCAATAAAATTCCAAGGAGCCGTGATGGTGTAGCAGCTTGATACTGGCCCAAAGGTCTTGGGTTCCAATCTGCATCAAGTCAGATCCCCCCACCCCCCAAAAAAACTTTGTTTCTCTGGCTGCCCCAGCCTAAAATGGATACCAGGTAAAGTCCTTGGAAGTAAAGGTGGTCGGCATGGTGCTGACCACATCACCCATTGGGTGTCAGATTTCTTTAAATATATGAGCTTTATATACCTTATGCACCAAGGTGTGAAAATGGTCCTCATATAGCAGGTCCTTTGCAGAATGCCATTTTCTACATCTGCTAGCTCCCCCACCTTGTATCATATACACATCTTCACTTTGATCGTTGCACCTTCTTTCTGATACCATGCCTTCTGCTATTACTTTTTCCAGTCCGCCGTGGCGCTTGATATGACCAAAATATTTTAGCTTCCGAGACAATATGCTGTTTATTAGCCAATCTTCTTTGAGGTTCAGATATGTTAAAAGGCTATTATTTCTTTTCTTCTTTGTTCATGGTATTCTGAGAGTCTTTCCACAGCATGTCAGCTCAAAGGCCCCTATTGGTCCTTACTAAACTGTCACTTTAAGTGATTCCTTTACCAGGTCACAACAGATGGCATCACAGATGCAGCAAGCCAACCCAGAACTGGTTCAACACCTCAGAGAACAAATGAGAGGACAGAACCCATCCAGTGACAACAGCAGTGGCCAGAATGAGTCTGGAGGTGAGCCCTGTAATGATTCTCTAGATTCATGAGAAATATATTCACACATTTTGATCAACATTTTCTTTCCATGTGGGTTGTGGGGCTCTGTTTTGGAAAACAAGGAATAGAGACCCCTTTCCAAACGTCATAGAAGTCTTCTTGGCGATCATCGGCGGAAAGTTCTGGTTGTTCGTCCACTTCTGGACTGCAGTCCTGTTCCAGAACCTGAGTGTTGCGTGTGCATCCATTTGACAGATCTGACTAATTTGTATGCGGACTGTTGGTTCCTTGCCTCTCAGGCAGATGCACTTCGACTTTGAAGGAAGCTCCCAATTAGTTGACACTTACGACATGCTTTTGGGTTGGCAGTGGGTCTATTCTTGTTTTCCCTATAATAGGGCTCTGGAATCCACACGGGGAGTCGTAGGAGTGCTTCCTACAAAGTCAGAGTCATCAGCCTGAGCGGCAAGACACCAACAGTCTGCATACAGATAAATCAGATTTGTAAAATGGAGGTGCACTCAGAACTCAAGTTCTGTATCAAGACCAAAATCCAGAAGTGAACGAGCAACCAGAAATTTCCACTGGAGTTAACAGCCGGTATACGCTAAGAAGAAAATAGTTGCGGTGGTGGTAAAAAAATAAGTCTCAGCATGAATAAGAAGGCAAACAGACATAATGATAATCTCAAAGAAAAGATTTGTGCCTGAATGTATAATAAAAGTTAGTGGCGTTATTTTGGGGCAAGTATCAAGAAGGTTAGTTACGTATCCTTTACAGGACGTTGCAGAACCAACCCCAGCAGCCCCTGGCTGTTGTGTGGTTTCTATAGCCAAATTTACGTCCAGTAGTTTGCTATTGCTTTCTGGAAGGTCAGCCCCCCTGATACCACTGTCGAAACCAACGCAAGGCGCATGGCCCGCAGCTGGGATCAAACCGGCATTACGAAGCGTTTGCATCGACTTAGCCACAGAGCCGACTGGGGCAAGTACAGAAGTTCAAATATATAGGCACATTAATAACATCTGATGCAAGATGCTTCACTGAGATAATTATCAGGGCTAAAAAAAAATACCCTCAGCAGTGTGTAAAATTAGGATTACTTTCCGGCAGATACACCAGGGGTGGGCGGCAAATCACGCGACTAGTCACGCCTTCGTAATGTTGCACCCATTTGAGTTGCATGCATAACCCTTCATTTTCAGAGTTAAGGCATAGAATAGAATGGGGGGAAAACAGCATTAAATGAAATTGATAACTTCTGAGAGGTTGCAAAAATAATTCCCAAATGGGTTCCGAGGCCCATTATGGGAGAAACAAGAATAGACCCACTGCCACTCTAACAAGCATGTTGTAGGAGTTGACTAATTAAGGGTTTTCTTTTTTAGGTTGCAAGAATTTGGTTTTACAAAATAATGCTCACAATTTTGTGAACGGCTAAATTGAATAACCCAGATGTTTGAAAGAGGTGAGGGCCCAAAGACAACTTAATCACAGATTGAGACTTGTGAGGAATTTTAATTCTCGGCCATGTTAGGAGAAAAAGAAAACTGGAATATGCTGTGGATAGCGGAGATAAAAGGAAAAGATTCTTGACAGTCTTTTTTAGCATGAAGGCCTCTCCATTGTGTAGTGGCTAGATGCTTGCTTGCAAATCAGAAGGTCATGAGTTCGGGTCCTGAAGATGCCATACTTTTCACAAATGACCTTGGTTCCCAGGTTGACCCGACCTTGAATGGGTACCAGCCACAATCATGGGAAGTAAAGGTGGCCGGCATGATGTTGATCACATCACCCACTGAGAGTCGACTGGTCTATAAAATTCTAGTGCTGTATACCCCATACCCATGAAGGTCTGGTATGGGTCCTTCACTTTACTTTTGGCATGGGGGTGTGTCAGCTCATGAACTTATAAATGTTGTTGGATATGGCAAGCCTTTCGGGCCAGGAACTTGATGATGATGTATCAGTAATTTTTTGGGTTCCAGTCGTGCACATACAAAGTGCAGCGTCCGTAGCTTAGGCGAGTCCGACTGGTAAATCTAATGCCCCGCGATCAAAACCCACTGCTGGCTGCGTGGATTTTTATCATGGTATGGGGCGTCTCAGTTCGTCCCAGCCTCAAATGGGTACCAGGATGTACCTGTGAAAGTAAAGATGGCCAGTGTAATGCTGACCACATTAACCACCTAGTGCTGATTGGCCTGTTAAAATAGGGTGCTCTTCCCATATGCCGGATGTGCCTAAGGCGTAAAAAGGGATCTTTACTTTTTACTTACTTGCACACACAAATAATAAAAATGTTAATATAATGCCACATCCTGACAAGTGTTTTAAAAAGACTGAAGAAGTTATTATAATTTTTTTTTTCAAAGTCATAGCTACTGAAAATGAAACATAATAATTTGTTGTTTCAGATTCAAACCCACCCCATCAGTAAGGTAGATGGTGTAGCTTCATAAATCAACCTGTTGTGTGATGCCTTGTGTTGATGACAGATTCCATGTTCTTGGGCAATGCATTGTTTTAAAAAAAAAACATATTCAAGATTGTTAAATAATTTATATGAATTTTGGATAGACGAAACAATTGACAATAGTATAAGATGTTTAAAACGGAAACATAATTTGTATATGTTTTGATGTGTGTTCAAATGAGGATTATGATTCTACTGCAGGAATTTTACTCCCCACTGGTCCAAGTGACTAGTCATTTCATTTCAATCTCTTCTGCTACATATGTCACTGGGGGGTCGCCGTGGTGTTGGTGGCTAGACGACGGCTTGCGGATCAAAAGGTGGGTTCACGTCAGTGCAGATCTGGGAAGTAAAGGCAGCCGGCTTGATGCTGATCACATCACCCACCAAGTGCCAATTGGTCTATAAAAATATAGGTCTAGCTCTATATTCTCAATACGCCTGGTGGCGTGGAAATGGGACCTTTACTTACATATATCAATAACTTTGTATTTGTTTATTAAGTTTAAAAAAAATTTCGCATAAACATTCTAAAGAAATTTTAAAGTGACTTTGGAGGGTGGGAGGTTTAGCGACTAAAGTAATTTTACATATAAAACCGTTGCCGTCATGAAAAGCATGTATATCTTCAGTTATAACTAGCCATCTGCATCAGTTAAATTGTTTAAAGAAAAACAGTGATGCAGTCTCCCTAATTGAGGTATGTTGTCTTTTCTCTAGACTTTATCTCTCGTGATCACTGAAGCCTTTAACGAACATCTAATTTGCACTTATTAATAATTGAGTCTCAGGATAAAACCATAAGCATTTGGTTAGTTTAATATTACACATACTGACAGCATAGGAATAAAGGAAGGCAAAAAAGAAACATGGAGAAGGGAGCTGGAGAATGAAGTTAGAAAGATGGGGAGGATATGGGGAAAGCTGAATGCAGTAGCAAAGAATAGAGTGACTTGGCTTGAGGTGGTTGGAGCCTGTGCTCCATTGGGTGCTGGAAAAGCTGAAGAAGAATAGTGCACAAAAAGGAACAATTGCTCTCTGACGCTTGCTATTTTAAATGTTTTGTGTGCATATTTATTTACATGCATAGGGTTGGATGCCCTAATTAATAAATCAATCGTTTCCATTCACCCAAAGTGGGAAAACCTCTAGTCTGTGGACCGAATAAAGTCTGAAATTATTTCCATCTGGCCCATTAAAGCAACCATAGTTATATTCAACCAAATATAGCAACATTTTATGTTGATAATTTTGTGTAACTCGCAAATGATCATTAGCACACAAAAAGTCCATTGTCCTTAACATAAGAACGGGGTACTAATGTATGTGTATGTGTGCATGAGGTTCAAAATTGAGTCTTCTATGTTGTCATCAAAATTTAATTGTCATGCTTGTTGATTTACAGAGGTAGTTGCACCAATAAACTAGTTTTATATATCGTGTTTTCTGTCAGTTTTAAAATGTTTTGTTTTAATATAATTTGATATATTCCCTGGGGGCTAAGTTTGATTTGAAATAATTAGCTTTGATTCTGGTAATCTGAGTTTTAGCTTCATAGCAAAGTCCACCCCATAGTAGCTCCACCCCTGTGCCAATGGAAAACACACACAATGTTTATCACAGTCACTTGTGGAAAGATTGACAGACTACTGTCTCAGCATCTGCACTAGCATACACATGCATTAAATGCATACGGTAGCCATCTGAAGTGCTAACACAAACAGTCTGACATTAGAAATGCAGTTCATCATGGATGCTAGCAAACGTCACCAACAGATCAGCAGTTGCACACGCGATCAATTTTAATCACATAATGGCATCACCAACATTGCGACTACAGGCACCGCGTCATTTTCTGAATCTACAATTTACACTACCATGTTGGTCACAGTTGAAAAACATCCCAAAAGGAATCCGCAGCTCACAGTGTCATGCCATGCACTCAACTTAGAAGCCAGGTGACGAAACCTACTAATGGAGCAAAAATGCAACGGCCACCGTCTGGCAGAAGCAACAAATTTGCCACTGCTCAAAACAGTGACCGTGCCTAGCGTCCATTGACCGGAAAAACTTTGATTTAATCCTATGCGCTACCATTACTATTCTTTGCTTCTCTTATGGCCGTAGCTGTCTGTTACAAATGAAAAGTTCACACTAAAGTTGAGATCAAGTTCTTATCTGCAGATCTAATTTAAAAAAAATACTGCTCAGTTAGGCAGTTAGTTAAGCAACAGATTATTCTCATTGCACATCAGACAAGGCCATAAGAGCTTGTTCCCCATCTTCAGTATATCCCTCAGCGTGTGGTGTCTTTATGCCTGATAACATCATGTGTTTCTCTGTTATTCCTTGGTTACCTGTATATTACCTGGCTCTCTAGCGTAGTTGGCTAAATTGGATTTTGCAGTGACCTGGTAACGAACTCATTGTGGTCCGGGTTCACTCCCGGGGGTAGACAGAAAAGCCACATTTCTCCCAGATTTACAATAGAATCAAAGCTGAAAGGTTGCGATATCCATAATACCGAGCCTAAGGGTTAACAACTCATGGCTTCTGGATACTAAAACAAACCTGTATAGTATTCATGTTTGGCGACACCTATTTTGACCTAAAGAGTATTTTGAGTGCTACCGATTCAACGTCATCTCCCGAATCACCTTCGCGTCCTGCCCCCTTGAGGACACAGAATGTCGGGCCCGATCCCCTGCGTCTATACCGATCACTTTCTATTATTGTGTTATGCTGATGAATGCTTTCTAGATGCAACACTTATTTTATTGTTTATGACTGATTGTAACAGACTATTAGAGCATGCTGAGAAAGGTGAAGGCAGGGATGCTTCGAGCTAAATGACAAGCTTTACTGGAATGGAAAGGTCACGGGTAGTGAGCATACTTTAGATTTTTTCCCCAGGCCATTCCCGCATGGTGGGTAATGAACAGGCAGACTGGATCTGCACCACTGGGTGGTGTACTGATACATGTCAAGGCCCTTTGGGAATAAGAGATGGAATTAGTAGAGATAGATTATTATTATGGCCTAGAGAGAATGAGGCATCTAGGTGTAACCAAAGGGTCTGGTCGGCTCACTACACTCAGAGGAAAGGCAAGAGGGACATATAACCAGATTGTGACCGGTACCATCAGTATTGGAACTCTGCGCTGGCTGCTGAAGACAGAGCATGCACGGGAATGCTCAGAGTGCTGTGATGTCAATTCTTGACTTAACTCAAATCGACTGTGAAGCTGACTAGTTTTGCTTTAATTGGACTATTTTCTTCTGACGCTTTTAAGTTTCAGCTGTGCCTGCTATGAGAAAAACTTTCCAAACGGTGAAACAAACGTCAAAACAGTGTTTTCCTGTTGTTAATTTAAATAATGCAGACATAAATACATTGCAAAATTTATTGCCAGGCATATTTTGCTTATCTCATTAGGTGCATTACTGCCGAAATGCGTAAACCATATTGTCAAATTACTGTCCATCTGTCCACCAGGAAATCAATATCAGCCATGTGATTACCATAACCACAAAATTATCATGTGATCTTTTTGTTTTCATAACATAAAATAGTTTATTTTATTGACACAGCCATAGCCACTTTTAGCAAACGTCTTTTAAATATAGTTTTATTTAACTCTGTAGTAATGGACCTGACAATTTGCAGCAAAATATGCAAGGCAATAAATTGTGCATTGTATTGTTTGTAAAAATAAAACCATTACTTGTAGTCATGTAAACCACAACACAACATGCAGACTACCCTTTTAAAGAAAAATACAAAGATATCCTTGTTGAAATTTATTTTTTAATTCAAGGGATGAGACAGGCATGTTATACATTTTACAAAACAATCTTTGCAGTCTTGTCTGATACCAATACCAAAATATGTCTTAATATCTGAGACGTTGCTACATTATGAGAGGGAAAACAAAAAAGGAACTTGCGACAACTGGACAAATAAGATTCCCCAAAAAGGTGCCAGCAGACGACATGATGCCCGCTGTTGCAGAATGCAGTCAAACTATTATTTCCCATCTCAAATGAACATTGGCTGCAATGGAAATTCCACATGCTCTTTCACCATGGATGTACTCTCTTCATCTCTAGACCCTCTCATCTGTATCGCTGTCTGCCTCTTGCTCATTTGCCTTTAACTTTTCCCGTTAGCACAGTTTTTAATAAAAATGTTTATGTCTTTTACTATGGCCAAAATATATTTCATCTTATCTCCTTTCTTTCCTTCAGCAACTCTTATCATTCCTAGCCTTGTCATAACTACTGTATCTGATTAGTTTTGTTTCCATCAAATACGACCCATTTTTCTGTTCTTCTACTTAGACTCAATACAATTTTCTAATTGTTCACTGTCAAGGACCGGATATGAAACCACCCATGCAAGTTGGCAAAATACATTATGATGACCATAACTGCTCATAAATACTTTCCACCCAAATAGAGATTGTGCTTTTCAAGTCCTTTCATTTTGATTACACAAGATTTATTAAACCCCAACCTCTTGGACAAAAAAAATGAGATCTTAGCCATAACTAGGTTATCCACTCCCTTCTGCAGTATGTAGAGTTTCTGCCATAAACAACTTTCCGAGGCTGGAAGCTGCAAACTCGCACACTTGTTTGCAGTAGTTGTCCATCTGCCCGGCCACGAGTGTACAGTCCAAGCGCTGGGGTGTGGGCAGTGGCTTGAATAACTTGTTGATGTCCTCTTCTGGCAGAGGTGGCTCTCCTCGCTGCTTCCGCTGGGCATTTTCTTGTTCCTGAAATAAAATTATATTCTGGTTAATTTTGTAAAATAAACAAATACACTGATGATAATAACAGATCTAGAATATGCAACAAGAGGGACGAAAGAATCAAAGTAATAGAAGGATTGGCAATTTAAGCTCTTCTGGCTGGCTCAGTCCTAGAAAAATCATACTGCTGTAGATTTTGATGTTTTCATTTTGTTTTTGATCTAACATGCTATTCCTCCCTCTGCTATTCTGGTTTATGCCCTGTATGGTATGGCCCCTCATATTAAGTTACTAAATTGCAATAAACAAAACAAAAAAATGACCCTGTTCCATACTTTATAAACATAAGGGGCCAATGGTGCTAGTCAAGTATTCTTATAGATTCAATAGATGATGCAAACAATATCACTTCTGTGATGACAATTTAACAGAAAAAATCCTTTTACTACCTGTATTTACTTAAAAGGTAAAAAGGAGGAGGGGCTGACCCTGAGCACAAAGATGTAAGGCTGCACACCTAGTGCATCTGTGATAGACTGCAGGTTATGATTTTAGCTTTGCCCCAGACAGGGAAAAAATCCAGCACCTTTTCAAAGATTTGAACCTGGTTCTCCAGATTGGAATCCCAGTGTCTTAACCATTCTGCCAGCCTTGACAGCAATAATACAGCATGCACAAAATGTAAAAAAAAAAAAAAAAATGCAGCCTACCCTCTTCGCAAGGTACTGCTGTTTCATCTGTTGCTGCTTGAAATTATTTCTCTGGAAGTTGAGATACTTGTTAGTGTCCATTGCAACGTCATCCACACACTCCATTAACTGACGCAGGTTCTTTTCCAGCACAGAGCTAAGAACAAAGAACACATTAAATTACATTCCAAATTCCATTTTAAAAAGGTAATATACACAAAAATACCTTTTATGAAATAAAATAAAATTTGTTGGCACAAATATATTTATGGTGAAAAGACATTCATTTATTGTTCTGCCATTATATGTTACACAGGGCTCATAGTCTATTCCCCCATTCCATTCTATTCTGCGCAATTAGTAACTGGTCATGGGTTGAATTCAAACCAGCAGCCTTGGCTCATCAACATTTGTTTTAGGTGTCCCTGCTTTCTCAATTCCTTTATTTCCTATGTTTTGTGGTGGTTTTTTTCTAGGCACATGTTCACGTTCAGCAGTTTGCCACTGCTTCCTGAAAGGTACCACTGTTGAAATCAACGCAACATCTCTGCTGCCAAATAACCTGCAGCTGGGATAGAACAAGACACCCTGGCATTATGAAGCGTGTTCACAACGCCTAAGCCACAGAGAGAAGCTCTTAACTGAATGGCTTCCAGGACTTCACTGTTTTTTTAAGGTGGAAGAGGAAGAGATTAGAACCACTGCCTCATTAACAAGCATGTTGAAAGGGGCGACTAATTAGGAGTTTCCTTCAAAGTTGAAGTACATCTGCCAAAGGCAAGGAACCAACACTCTGCATACAAATAAGACAGATCTGTAAAACTGATGTGCACGCAAAACTCAAATTCTGAAGCATGACTCCACTGAACGTGAAGAAGAAACTCTGAAAAAGAAACAAACATACCTGGTGCCCAGGTCAAGAGATGAAAATTTCTGCTCTTTCCTGGTTTTCTCAGACAGCTCACAGAGCAAAGCATTCACCAGGTGAGAGTTTCTCAGAACCACTGGGATCTCTTGGAACATGGTCTCAAAGTTGATGCTATGTTTTGTCATGTTCTCCAGTGTGAAGTCATTCTCCTTGTAGAACTTCATCATTTCTGGTGTCAGACGGTAGGCTTTCAATGAAAGGAACCCCTGAGTAGTGCGCAATGGATCTGCAAAAGAAGAGATGATATTCTGTAAAGCAAGTCCTATATAAAAACCCGAGATACACTGAATCCTGCACATACAATGCCAGATTATCTTCCTTCTTACTGCAAGTCATATGTATTTACTTCTCTCTGTACCCAAAACACTAAATTAACTTTTGATAACAATGAAAATAATAATTTGAAACAATACAATCCATTTCTTTGTGTGCCCTTAACAGGCAGTTGACACTAATTCTAGTGGTTTACAAACCAGGCTGCGATATGTGCCCCTTTCAGGCCAACACACACAAATCGTTCATATCTGTTGCCTTTCACTCCACGCTTGCTAAAGGCGGTAAGTCTAATTCCCATAAACACCTATCATCAAAAACTGTCATTTTAGTGATGCAGGGTGGAGGCGGGGGTATTTGAGCACGGGGATTTATAGCTACAGGGCTAGTGCTATCACCAAGAACTGCGCATGTCAGGATGTTTATTTTTGCCATGACAAATGTCATCATCACAGAGCAGGTCCTTTGCAGAACACTGCCCTCTGACTAAAAAGAAACCCAGTCTCTGGCCAGCTCTCCCACCCCATGTACTTTTATATTCAAGGAGTTACATTTATCCAGTTTTGGTCAGCCTCCCCTCCTCCCAGTACCATGTCTTCTGCTATTAATTGTTCAATCCGCCACGTCGCTTGATATGATTAAAATATTTTGGCTTCAGAGACAAGATGCTGTTTATCAGCCAATCTTCCTTGTTCAGATCACTGGAAATGTCAGTATTTCATTTCTTCATTGTCCATGGCATTCTCAGAATCCTATAGTATTTCAGTTCAACGGCCCCTATTTTCTTTTTAAAGGGGACTGGGAGATAGTTCAGGACTCTCATGTTATGTTTTTATTTCCTTCTTGGTGTTTAACCATAGACTTTTAATGCTGTTTAAATGACAAATGTTATACAGCATCTTTTTATTATTGGCAATTTATTTCTATGTTTAGGAAATGTCAACTGCTAAGCATAATTATGTGCTTTAATTTTGATGGGGACATCGAGTATGATTTATAATGAATGTATGAACAGATCGAGTAATTCAAGGCAAGTTGGCTGAAGCGTGCCAGATAAGAAAAACATAAAAACTTATCAAAAGCAAGGAAAGTTAAATAGATTTATTTAAACTTGGAGAGGTCAGACTTGTTTTCGATGCTGAAAGAGCCTGGTCATATGGCACTTGAAGACCGAACTGAGTGAATCTATAAAGTAAGCGAGTGTTATTTCAAGCACCTGACAGGTGCGAAAAAACCTGGCCCATCAACTTCCTGACAAATGGATGGAGACAGTCGTCTGTTATGGGATGTGCATTTCTGCTTGAATGTAAATTTTAGTCAGCCTGAAGTGTAACGACAGAAGTACAGTGTCAGGTGAACTCATCAAGGTAATGAACATATTGTAGATGTCTCTTGTGTCGCCCCTAGACATTAAACCTCTGGTTCACTGACAGGGGCAATAATAATTGGAGCAAATAAACATTGCATATCAGTTTTTGACATTATAAATCACAAAAGAAAAAAATCTTTCACACTATGGTCCATGTCACATGGCATTGGTAGAGTCATGACTACACACAGCCATGTCACATGGATTTTCAACCATTTCTGACACAGATAATCTCCCATGCTATGCTGACAAACTGTCAAGCATCTTCTCTCCTGGTATCTTGCTGCCTCCCTTCCCACCATCATGATGTATTTCAGTCCTCTCCTTACAATGAGACCTAAGAATGTAAAACAGGACAATGTGCATAGCTGAAATTAGATGGAAAAACTCACCATAAATAAGAACAACAGATTCTTCTATAGAATGCTGGTAGTTGAACTGTGAGTCCAGCAGAGCACGATTTATAAACGATCCAAAATAGGTGCTTTGGTACCAGCCGACATGCAGATGATCCACATTAACATGGCGGAGATTTCTCATCATTTCCATCTGGTATTGAACAGACACTAGAGGAAAAGAAAATGAAATTGGGCTGCACTAAAATGTTCCAAACAATAGCATTTTAATGTCATCATCATGTCTTTTTTGTGTCCTCTGGAGGTTGGCTGCAATTAATCCAATGGATCCTCCAGGGATACTATGTGATGAGGCTATAAACTCTGCAGTAATACACTCACTCAGACCACTGAATGATCTTTTGTTTAAATCAGGAGTATGAAACCTTTTTTTTTTGTTTTGTTTCAGGTGGCGCGCCCTAAGCCCTGGAATATATGGCAAGACCCCCCCCCCCCTTTTTTTTAAAACCCCCAGTTAAAAGTAAATGTGATTAAAAAGGAAGAACAAAAAGAACAATCCAAGGCACTATATTAATTAACAAGAAAAACATCCACATAATCAAAGTGTGAATAACATAACGACCTTTTTTTTAATATACAAAAAATAACTTTATTTATTACTAAACTGTAAGAGTTGATTAATTTGGGGCTTCCTCTAAAGTCAGAATGCATCTGCCTGGGAGACAAGGAACCAACAATCTGCACACAAATAAGTCAGATATTTAAAATGTATGTGCACAAAACACTAAGGTTCTGGAACAAAACCACCAAAGTCCAGATGTGAATGAATAACCTGAATTTTTGGCTCTGGAGTTTACAGCCAGTGAACGCAAAGAAATTACTTTATTCAGATATTACTGCAAAAGGAAACAAAATGTGCAGGAAGGCAAAAGCTACACAAGAAGGATATCAACATCATCATCAGGTGCCTTGCGGACTGGCGCAGGCTATCATGCCTCTATATAAGCCACGATCTCCTGTGGCATGTATCAGTTCGTGTACCGTCACACCTCTATGCCATGCAACAAGACTGTCTCTATCCCTCCTCCCACAGGTCTTTCTAGTGGTCACAACATGTTCTATTTTCCCTCTTTCCATAACATGACTGTCTCCTTCCGATGTCTGTGATAAGCTGTCTTCGGGCTATTTGCAAACATGACCCAAAAATGCCAGCACTGACGGACAGTTGGGAGAGATCGGCTGCAGTATAACATAAGTTTTTAGGTAATGGGTGCAGTACAGACTGTCACTCTCACATAGGGTTTTAGTCACAGCAGATGCTGTTCCCCGAACCTGCAAAAGAGTCCAAGGTCCACATAAACTTGCAGCTGCCTCCAAGACTGTCCTGTTCAAAACTTGCTACTAGAGAATCCAATTAGCAGGCTTTGTGCTGTGCCAATGCCCCCCCCCCGATTAGTGGTTTAAATTCATCATTCAAGCAGTAATGGTGATGTTTTTACTATATTCGACTGTTTCATTCCTAAACAACTGTCACTTTAACTCCATCTACTCTAAAGAGATGAGTATAAAAAAAGCAAAAAAAAATTATAATCATTCAATAGTGACAGTCAGTCAGAGACTGTAGGACAGAAAGGCTGAGAAAGGGTTAAAACTAAGTTGAGTTAAAAACATAATAGTACTCTGGATATTCCTATAAGCGCTTCATCACCCTTTCATCAGCCAACAACGCTTACTCAGGACATTAACATTAAAATTTAAAATACCTGCATCAAAGTCTTCATCTTCACCGTGCTTGGGAAATGGGAAACAATTTGTAATCTCAAGCCTATTGTCGACAACAAGACCCAGCAGAACACCCTGCACCAAGTCTGTGCCGCCAGCTCCTTCCTCATGGCTGTGCTTGATGATCTTCAATGCCACCTGGAAGATAGTAAACACTTTTACAACTCAGAAAAGCTTTTTCAGAATTACAGTAGTAACAATTTTAAATAATTCTTTTCCATCAGTACACCCTTTAATGGGTGGTTGACACACTGTGTACCGGTTTGCAATGAGCTAGCTCCATCACAGTTCTTCCTAGGCCATTTTGAAAACTAACACGACCAAAGTAAGTACATCAGCTTTCGAGACAGGATGTTGTTTAAAGTGTTAATGAGCCAATTCTTATGTAGGCTGTCAATATTCTAATAATTTTTTTGGGAAGCATTTCAGTTCAAAAGCCCCGATACCGATTATTTCTTCAAAGATTAGAGTGTATGATTCACAACCATAATCTGCCAAGAGAAAGACGCATGATCTGACACTCCTTGAAATGGTGACCCCTCGGGGAACGCTATCAATTTAAGTTGACATTACTTCTATCAAACCTAGGCATAATCCATGGCTTCTGTAACTTCACACAACCCAAACCTGAAGCAATATTAAATACTTGCTGTACCCAGCCACTTGTTGCTGTGGCTCAGAATGGTGAAATGGAGAGAAAAGAAAATAGCTCTCAGCTAACAGTGTCTGTCATATCCCCTTCTCCCCCCATACTCTCCCCTCGACACAGTCATATCTCCCTCTCCGAAGGATTGAAAAATCATCCATGGCGAAATATTAAAATAGAAATAGTTAAGAAATGAGAACTTTAAAATAATATTTTTTGCTCTCTTAGCTAACTGTGTCTGGCATACCGCCCCCCCCCCCCCCCCAACCAACAATCATATCTCCCTCTCCGAAGGATTGAAAAATCATCACCTGGCGAAATTATTAAAATAGAAATAGTTAAGAAATTATAATTTTAAAATAATATTCTATGCTCTCTTAGCTAACTTTGTCTGGCATAAACACCACCCCCCCCCCCTTTTTTTTCCCAATGATCATATCTCCCTCTCTGAAGAATTGAAAAATCATCATCTGGCGAAATTATGAAAATAGAAAAGGTTAAGAAATGAGAACTTTCAAAAAATATTTTAAGCTCTCTCGGCTAACTGTGTCTGGCATAACCCCACCCCTTTCCATGCTCCCCCAATAATGTCATCCCCACCGAAGGATGGGAAAGTCACCATGTACTGAAATATTATAACTAAATTGAGCTTGGCATCCGTGTCCACCCAGACTTAAAAAGGTAGCATCAACTTGTACCGAGAAGTAAATGTGTCGAGTGTAACAGCTACAATATCACCCATCCAGTACCAGTACTACTGCAACCACTACCACCACCACCATCACAACAACAACAAAAACTGTCATTACAGTTTGTGTAGGTCGGTGTAGAAAAGAGGAGTTAGCGCTGCATGCTGTCGCCACGGACTATTTAGTTTAATGTTGCCCCAGACATATTAAAAAACGTCATCATGTAACCAGTGATGGAACCCACAGTAAAAAGTACACAATACTCGCGAATAGCGGAGAAAAATACCCCGCACCCGTCATCTCTCCCTCTGCGAAGGAACGATTTTTAACTGACCTTGGCATCCATGTCCAATAAAACTAATTAATCTGGACTGTAAACCGTCTTAGTTAACAGTTTCTGAGTGGCGTGGGGGCTACTCTCGGTGGTGGCTGTAGTCGCCGAGAAAACCGCAAATTAAGTCGTTGAAATGTTCGCAATTAACACGTGACTGGGGCCGTTTTTGGCCGCTATCTTTTGTGCCCGTTACTCGGAGGATAGCCGGTCTGCGATGCTACTAAAAATAAAGCTGCGTTACCAATGCAGTACGAGTCGCGCCTTGTTCCGATCGTACTTAGCCGAGTTTCAATGGTGTAACAGCCACAAACAGCAGATTTTCGGGCACTATTTACAACTTCTGTGCCATAATTTCCAGATATAAAGGCATAACATTATCAGTAGGTAGTAAACTTGATATATCATTTTTTTTCATTCCTTATCAGTTTTAACTTCAATTTTTGAATGTTTACAACACATGACACGTGACTGAGGCTCGTCGTGATATTTTGCGGCCGCCATCTTTCGTGCCCGTTATTAGGAGGATAGCCATATTATTAATAATATAGCTATAACTAGCTGATATAGTTACTCAGAGTTACTGTGCCAGGAATCGAACCTGTCACCTTCAGATGGCGTGTGCTGTGCGCCTCGCTATGGAAACAAGTTCACTAAGAACATGGTCAACTAGGCACCCCCCAAAAAAGGTGTCTTATTAGCCATGTCTATCAGACGTAAATCGTACAGCTTGAAAAATCCACACGACAGAATTTACAAACCACTGAAATGGTACCATATAACCATAGGTTACATAAATGTATATTAACGAAGCATATGTCAAATAACAAGCATAGAAATAATTTACGAACGCAGTAGACCTTAATGCTTTGTCTAGAATACACAAACAAACATTCAAGTTTAAGAATATGGAAATATATGAGGGCCGATGAAGTTTAAATTTAAAATTTAAAATAAATTAAACAAATTAGCTAAAATGGTGAGCCTTATATATTTTTGAAGCGTCTTACTGTACACTTCAAAATCATTTTACATATAAATGCTGATATCAAACAAGTACTTTAAAGTGCTTTCAGTTCTCACACAGAAAATACTTACCAGACCATCGATCTGTACAATCTGCACCTGGGAATCCATTCCACGTTTTGACGCCATGACAGTTCCACTTTCCTGTTTAATGTTGATAATAAATCTTGGATTCGGAAAATATGCACGAATTTAAGATTAATAGCGAAACAAAACAAAAAAGTAACTATTTCATATAAATTATTTCATTCATTCATTGGCACCTTTTCGTCTTTCCAGACGATAGTGTTGTATTGCGCTATGAAGAGGCATGCGACTCACAGCCCATGGCGATGGGGAGTGTAACTAGCAAGACCCGCCCGTGTCAAGAAAAGTCATCCACAATGATAGCTCTCCATAGCACAAAGCCTGGGCAATATTGTAGAGACCATATGTTGCCCATGCATAATGACCCCTCCCTCGACCTATCTTGTTTACTTCAAAGCAAAGATAAAACCAGGACGTTTGGAACGAGGCAGGTTGCAGAAGCTGCCGGATCAGAAGAGCAGTGCTCTATCTGTCCGCCTGTCGGAGCTTCCCTTCTAGACCAGCTGCCAGCCTAGGCGAAGGGCCTGGTCTGCCCTGTCTTAACATAAAGTTTTCAGGTTGCATTTCCTCTTCCCAGGATAAGGCTAATATCCTCCCCAATGCGCTCCTCCGCCCGAAGCCGTTGGCATAATATGGGATGTTGGGTTAGTATACGCCGCCCAACATTCGGCGTAAAATTATTTCGTTACGGGGAGAAAATATATAATCATTTTATTTCAGTTGGCACACACTGTTTAAAAATTTTAGCAGAAGGCATGCTTCCAGGAATGAGGGGCAGGGGCCGACCGACACGAAGATGGGCACAGGATATAAGTGACTCCTTGAGTGTGAAAGTGCATGAGGAGGGAGAACTGGCGAGAGACCGAGTTTCTTTCAGACAGGCTGTGATGAGAGCGACGTTCTGCAAAGGACCTGCTACATGATGATGACACACTGTTTGCTGTTTAAATATCTTGGGAAAATTACAGAAAATTGCACATGATCATTCAATAAAATGCGCAAACAAATTTAATCAAAGAGAGTAGAGAGTAGATTTTATACCCCACCAGGACATCACACAAGCGATAAGCACCAGATGACACATAGTGCCACCATGGGGATAAGGATTACCCGTGGAGAGGTCACAGAAACCGCGTTCAGCCATTAGACCATATTAATGGCCAGGCTGTATTGCGGCCCCTGGCAAGAGCCAAAGTAGGGTTTCAAATAACGAAAAATTGCATGATAAGATTATTAATCAAAGACGAAGTTTGCATGTTAACATATGAAGTGTGTATGGTTATGCGTGCGGGTACGAGCATGCGTTTGTGCCGGATAAAAAAGTAAACAAACGCTGAAATACTGTGAACTGTCTATCATATAGATAACTAGTAATACTGGTTGACTGTTAGGCTGCGTTTTAACGCAAAATCCGATATTGTGGGACATCACAATTCAACGGCTGCCACAAACTAATTTCTCTTCTTCGTATTTTTTTTTTCTGCTGCCACCGAAAAAGTTGACACTAAACAAACAGATAGTGCTCTCAGTGCCATGAAGATGCTACTAACTCTGACTATCTGGACGCATTTCCAACATTTGTAGAAGTTAGGAATTCTGTTGATGAACTGGCTTCAGGGAAAGCCCCAGGCAGAGATGGAATTCCTATTGAAATCATCAGGAGTGGGAAAGACATTATAACCCAACACATTCATCAGCTAATAACACTCTGCTGGTAAGAGGGACAGGCTCCGCAAGACTTCAAAGACTCAAGCATCATAACTATTTACAAGAACAAGGGTGATATGACTGACTTCAATAACTACAGAGGATATCACTGCTGTGTACTGCTGAAAAGTGCTTGCGAGAATTGTTCTGCGAAGACTTTACTAGGAGACCAGGTTTACCCTGAGTCCCAGTGTGGCTTTCATGGGAACCAGTCTACCACTGATATGATATTTTCAATACGACAGTTGCAGGAAAAATGCCGCAAACAAAATTAACCACTGCATGTTGCTTTTATTAATCTTACTAAGGCATTTGATTTGGTTAGTCAAAAAAGGTCTGTTCAACACATTGATGAAAATTAAGTGTCCACCTACCCTACTGAGCATTATTGAGTCGTTTGACACAGGTATGAAAAGTACAATCAACTTTAGCGCTGTAACATCGGAAGGGTTTGTAATCAACAATCCTTTGGAACATGCCTTTCGAGATCAGGAGGGTGGTACATTCATCCATTCTCGTTCTGACAGCAGCATTTACAGTGCTCACAGGCTGAAGGCAAAATCCAGGATTAAGAAAAGTACTCATCAGAGAGCTGCTGTTTGCAAATTATGCAGCAATAACCACCCACTCAGAGGAGGAGCTGCAATGTTTACTATCTGCATTTGTGATGCGTGCTGTGAATTTGAACTAACAATCATCAACAAGAAGACAAAGGTTACGGTGCAAAGTGTTAATGATAGACCAGCAGTCTACATTGACAGTGAAGAGCTGGAGACAATTGATCATTTTACCTATCTGGGTTCCACAGTGAATAGTAAACTATCGCTGGACTAAGAAATCCACATTAGGATAGGTAAGGCAGCAACAACAATGAGCAGATTAAGAAAAAGAGTATGGAAGAACGGAAAGCTCACGATTAAAAAAACAAACAAAAAAACCTTGTCTTTCAGGTTTGTGTTCTCAGCACCCTATAGCAGTGAAACTTGGTCAACTTATTCCAGCCAGAAAAGTCGACTAAATAGCTTTCACATGCGATGCCTAAGAAGAAGAATTGGCATTAAGAGGCAGGGCAAGATCACAAACACTGACGAAATTGAAAGAGCAGGTATTACAGCAGTCTTCCAAATGCTCAGTCTACGAAGGCTCAGATGGCTGGGCCACACCTGGAGAATGAAGGATGGCAGAGTCTCCAAGGGCATCCTTTATGGTGAGTCAAAGGCGGGTAGAAGAAGTCGAGGCTGACCTCAACTAAAAAAAAAAAAAAAGACACGTGTAAGGGGGACATGAATGATGCAGACATTAAGGTGGACTCGTGGGAACAGAATGTGATGAACCGCGATGAGTGGAAGGCTCTCATCAGGAAGGGAATAAAAATAAAGGAAGAAATGATTGCAGGAAAGATGAGAGCTGAGCATCTGAGAAGAAACAGACTAAACAAAAATGTTGACAACAACGGTGATAAAATCCCATGTTATAATTGGGGAAGTTTTTTGTTATCGCAAATGGATCTTGCTAGTCACACTCGCCATCGCCATGGGCTGTGAGTCTCATACCTCCTACTTTGAATTATGTGTATGTTTTATAACTTGTTCTTGTTAATAATAATTTAAATTCTTATGTTTGTTCCTTCTCATCTTTTAAATCCTATGTTTTAAATTAAAGGTGAGTGAAACTCCCACCTTTCACACAGCAGTTGTATCTCATCAATAAAACATGTAGAATGGATGTGCACTGAAACATCAAGACCTGGGGCCGAAAAAAAGCCTAGGAGTGGACAAACAAAGAGAACTTCCCGCCAGATTTTACAGCCTGTGGAGGCTAAGAAGAAGAAGACGAAGCAAAAGAAGAAGCAAAAGCAGGAGCATCAGAGCAGCAGAAGTGGAACAAGAAAAAGAAGAAGAAGGAGAAAAAGAGGAAGAAAAGAAGAAGAAAAAGAAGAAGGAGGAGGAGAAGAAGAAGGAGGAGGAGGAGAAGAAGAAGAAGAAGAAGAAGAAGAAGAAGAAGAAGAAGAAGAAGAAGAAGAAGAAGAAGAAGAAGAAGAAGAAGAAGAAGAAAAAAAAAGAAGAAGAGAAAGAAGAAGAAAAGGAAGAAGAAGAAGAGGAAAAAGAAGAGGAAAAAAAAAAGAAGAAGAAGAAGAAGAAGAAGAAAAAAAAAAGAAGAGAAAGAAGAAGAAAAGGAAGAAGAAGAAGAGGAAAAAGAAGAGGAAGAAGAAGAAGAAGAAGAAGAAGAAGAAGAAGAAGAAGAAGAAGAAGAAGAAGAAGAAGAAGAAGAAGAAGAAGACATTTAAAATAAAAATGGATCACAAAATTACAGCAACTCAGTTTGGATATAATTAATTTATTGGTATGACTGTTAACATAACATGCAATCAGATATCACGATCAACAACGCACTTTTCATGTTTACAACTACAATTTCTGTTTTCAGAATAAATTGAAACATCACAATAAATCGTGCCTCCTGAAACACTTTGAAATATATTTCGTGTATTCACAACAGAACAACATCGGGATTCATTAAACAGGACTCACAAAAACTCTGTTTTAGAATAAATAGTTTAAACATTACCAACAGTTTTAACACTATTTTTAGTAACATCATATTCATTCATTTACCAGATCCACCACGTTATTATGGAATTATTAGTTTGTGTCTCGGAAACAGTGTGAACAACATATGAAATAATATATCAGGATTAACAAAATAGTCTTTATTATATAATAAACAAAATAAATAGTTTGTGTATTGGAGATTGGTAACAGCGTTAACCCACTCAGCACGAAAGCAATTCACATACGTTTGGTTAGTTTTTACTGACATACTTTACTTACTTTTATCAACATATTGTTTCTGATTCAGTTGTACTGCTGTACTTAACGCGGGCCAAAATGTTGAAAATAGAGATAAATAGTTTGTGTATTGTAGATTGGTAACAGCGTTAACCCACTCAGCACAAAAGCAATTCACATACGTTTGGTTAGTTTGTACTGACATACTTTACTTACTTTTATCAACATATTGTTTCTGATTCAGTTGTACTGCTGTACTTAACGCGGGCCAAAATGTTGAAAATAGAGATCGTCACGGGCCAAAGGCTCGAGCCTGAACATAGAAAGATCATTAACACAATACAACTTTCCCGTGTGGGTTACAGGGCCCCATTGTGGAGGAAAACAGGAATAGACCCACTGCCTCTCAGATAACAATGTCGTAAGAGTCTACTAATTGGGGGCTTCCTTCGAAGTCGGAATACTTCTGCCAGAGAGACAGGCAAGGAGCCAGCAATCTGCATATAATTAAGTCATATCTGTTAAATGGATATGCACGCAAACCTC